CCCCAAAACCCCAAAACCCCAAAACCCCAAGTATCCGATTTATGTGTGATGTAATCAAATTGATATAATAAATAAATCATGAGAAATTTAACTCTGATGAAGACAAGTCACTCTTATCTTAGAATACTGATACTCTTAGTAGGCTCGTAGTCTATCATCCAGACTGCTAATGGCATGATAGATATTCCAGTTGAAAGAAAAGAGAAAAATCCACTTCACAACATCAGGAAGAATGACAATGAGACTTATGATTCTGAATGCTTAATAGAAGAGGAAAAAGAATTGAAACTAACTCAAGCAAACGGAGTTTTGAATCTGATATAGTCAACCTATCAAAATGAGTAAATTAAGCAGTAGACACTTGTTCAAAGCCTCAGCTAACCATCACCGTTTTCACTGTTCTCAACTGCTCCTGGTAATTTAAATGATAATTAAGCATATAATTAAATAGATACTTCTGGCTATGTTGAGAAGGAGTTAATGAATTACTTCAATGTCCAATACTATGGGAAACTTTACCTTGGCTCCCAATAAGAGCAGATGACTTTTATCTTCGATACAGGCTCAAGTGTAACCTCATTTATCTATATCATTCTACCGTATAGTGGCTATGGGCTCCAACAACAGATTGCACAGGTGCAAATTGTCATCCATCTGAGAAATATGATACAAAACAGTCAGGTTTTTACCAGGTATTAGCTGATATTCCAACAAGTATCAAGTATGGCACAGGTGGTGCGGCAGGCTATCTGTCTAAGGATTAAGTATGCTTATCAAAAAATCAATCGACTTGTATGAAAGACTACAGCATTCTTTCTGTATTCAGGACAAGTGAGCTCGATTCTTTGTAAGCTGATGGAATCTTAGGTCTAGCACCTTCTAATCAAAGAACTAAATCCTCAGTGTTTGTTGAGGAATTATTTAAACATGGTATCATAAAAGAAAGAGTATTTAGCTTTTATGTGAGCAAAGGCTAAAGTAGCAGTAGAGTTACATTCGGGGGTTATAATATGGATTACGCTGCTCCTGCTGCAGATGGATAAAACCAAAGTATAACTTGGAATTACTTAATTAATTCTAACTATTGGAGTCTCTCACTTGTAAAGGTATCTCTCGGAGATAAAACTCTAAAATTGTCTACTAAGTCAGCCATCGTAGATACCGGCACTTCATTTCTCTTAATGCCAAGCAGTAAGTATATATCAACTTTGCAAATACTATTTAGGTGATTTCAGTCAATTTTTCTCTTACTTCTCATAAAAGATGCTTTGTGGAATTGATAAGACCTACAATTTATATTTCTGTCTTTGCACTCCAGAGAATCTTAAGACATTCCCATCTCTTAAGATTCAGCTTGGCAATAATGTTTACTCAATGCCTTGGGAATCATACATTTAAAAGGTATTAATAATTGCTTCAAATGTTTTATAGAGTAGTGGCAAGTGTTATTTCTAGATAATGAGTATGGACTTCCCTTATGGAACAGGATTCTGGATATTAGGTGATAATTTCCTAAACAACTACTATACAATTTTTGACCTCGAATAGCAAAGAGTCGGTTTTGTGGGATCTGTGGCATACGAAGATATACCAAGGAGTATTATGGATTACATCCAAATGATTGTGGTTGGATTATTGATTCTTATCATTATTTATGGAGGCTATCAAATTTGCTTTAATAATAACAAAGAATCAGTCAATTATAGAGAAATTTAAAGGGCTAATGCTATTTCTGATGATAGAGAAAACAATCACTATGTTCAGTTAGCAGGAGAATACAATGCCCCTCATCAAACTATTTCACGAGCACACTCTGATCTCTTAAGACAACCTTAAGCAATTAATGAAAATTAAAACAAAGATCAAGGAAGTAATCAAAGACTGATTGCTTGATATGGTTAGTCAAAGGAATTGTAATACACAAAAGACTTTAGAAAATAACTCAATTTTAAGTTTAAAGTGTAATTAAATCACTAAACTATTTATTTCTTAAATTATGAGATATAAATAATTCGAATATAGTGGGGTTTTGGGGTTTTGGGGTTTTGGGG